TGATGACAACATGGTCAGAGGCTAGGATCCTCCCATCTCTAGTTTAGAGTAAGGTGACTGTGAGCCTCCTGACTTAATTAGGAATTAGGGATTTGAGGGCTCTAGCCAGCCTCAAAACTGCTTTTCTCTGCACCCCAAGCAAAGCCACAGAGCCATGTTTCCCAGCCTTTCTGGAACGCTGTCCTGGGGATGCGTTTAAACTGAAGATATTAACACAGTTCATGAAGAAAGTGCCTGAGAGAAGATGTGCAGATATTTTTAAAATATTTTGGTTCAAAAGTTATTCTAAAAATTATTCTAAAATGTTTTTGCTTGTTCCTAGATTCTTTTGATTCCTGTTTTACTTCATCATTATCATTACTTATATCATGTTATCTGTCATATTACCTCTTTGAATTCTAAATCCTACAGTCAGACATGCAAGCTGACAAGTAAATAAATAAAACCAAAGATCTCTTACCTCAAACAGGAGTTTCCCTGCATAATACAGGAATGTCTCCATTATAAATGAAATGTGCAAAACTAAGCTAAACTAAACTAATCCTAACTAAACTAATTCAACAAATATATGAAATATGATAAAAAAAATAAATAAACAGTATGTGTAAATAGGTATATTAAATAAAATGAATAAACAAATAAATACTGTAAAATAAAACAAACCTAAGCTACGTAAATACAGATAAATAAAAGCACAAGAAAATATAAGCAACCAAATAAAAGCAAATGAACCTAACTAAGCGCCCACACGAGATAAAACTCTTGAGTGAATAGTTTTCACTCAGCCCACCAAAAAGTTGTATTTACTTCTCCTTTGTGAGCTCATGCCGCTGTCAGCACCATTATGAGGCATGCCCTCACAAAGAAAAAGCAAAGCAAACTGAGTGGCTGAGTGAATGCTACTCAAGAGTTTTATCTATTTTTCAATATTGGTAGAAATGTAACTACAAAATTCTGCTGATGCATTTAGTGCAATCAGAGGATGATCTAACAAGAAAAATACACACAGGTGAGAGTGAAAAAGGGCTGTAGTGGTGAATGAGCAGACCTGGAGAGATTTCTCTGCTTGGCAGAGTAAATTGCAATAGGATCTCACTTTAAAGAGCTTCCACGCATTGCTTCTTGTCCAGCTCTTAGGTGCTTTTGAGAATAAGTCAACCCCCTCATCTGTATGGCTGCCCCTCAATTACTGGAAGATAGCTGTCATGTTACCCCTAATCTTTTTCTTTGATAGGCTAGACATAGCTAGTTCCCTTAACCAATGGTTGTACAATTTAGCCTCCAGACCTCTTATCATCTTAGTTGCTCTTCTCTGCACTCTTTCTAGACTCTCAGCATCTTTTTTGTATTGTGGCAATTTTCCAAAAAGCCCTTAAGAAGACCAGGTCCGAGTGTGATGGAAAGTGCACCTGAAGGAGCAGTGGGGGAGATTTTAGGCAACACAGAGTTCTCCCAGAAAGAGACCTGGATCAAGAGATTGCGCAGATCCGAGCTGGAAGGGGGAGCAGGAAAGAAGTTCAGTGTAGCTTGAATTCACACAAGATTCTCTTAGAGTATATCTAGTAAGTTAGAAGATTATCGCTTGAATTTGGCAAGATTCTGTCGATTAGGTTTAAGCAAATAAAGGATTGAACTTAATTGGATTTCGCTGTGCCATTCCTGATCTTGGGCCTGACATTTCCTTCAACTATGGGATTTCTAGTTTTTTTTAGGATATCTATTATTATGGTCTTTTATATTTGTATTTGCTATTTTTCTCTCCCTAGTTTTTGAGAGGGTAAAAGTGAGGGATGGGAGGGATAGTTTCAGGCTTGCATGATTCTGTTAACATAACCTCTAACGTAGATAGAACTAGCATATCTGGTTCTGCTTCTTGTCTAGACACTAGAAATGTTACGTTAATGTCAGGCCCATCATACATCTTGCAAATCAATTTAATGTCAGTTTTCTTATTGGAAAGTTTATTTGATTTTTCACCTTGGAAAAATGGTTAAGCAAGCTGGGGAAGTTTGTTTTGATGTACAGAATAATTTTCTACCTTACAAGTAAATCTGATGTAGAATTCAGTTCTCAATGGAAACCATTCTTGACTGAATACATGGATTTATGCCTCGTCCAAAATTTAATAGAATAACAGAGTTGGAAGGGACCTTGCTCAGGCAGGAAACTCTATGCTATTTCAGACAAATGGTTGTCCAATCTCTTCTTAAAAACTTCCGGTGTTGGAGCATTCACAACTTCTGGAGGCAAGTCGTTCCACTGATTGTTCTAAGTGTCAGGAAATTTCTCCTTAGTTCTAGGTTGCTTCCCTCTTTGATTAGTTTCCATCTGTTGCTTCTTGTCTTGCCTTCAGGTGCTTTGGAGAATAGCTTAACTCCCTCTTTGTGGCAATACCTGAGATATTGGAACACTGCTATCATGTCACCCCTAGTTCTTCTTTTCATTAAACTAGACATACCTAATTCCAGAAACCTTTCTTTACACGTTTTAGCCTCCAGTCCCATACAATTTTCCAAGAATAGAGTTTCCAAGGATAGAGCCCCCAGTAATTCTGCACATAAATGCAACTCTCCATTATTCTTTGCCAAAGCATGGTATATGATGTAACATTTATCAATAAATGATTTGAATCTATTTATTCCTGAAGTATCGTTGACAGCATCACCTACTGATAATTCTAGTCTGTTATTAGCACAATGCCAAACTATAAGAGAAGGAAAACGTTCTGACAGTAATTGTTTCACTCCACTTTTACACCCTAACATCACAGCAGCGCCATCGCACACCAGAGAAACCAAATATTTTTTTAAAATAATCTTCTGCCATCCAATAAGTGAAGATATTGGAGTAAGGAATCAAATACTCCTTCTGCTGTTACTTTTTCAAGTTCTGCCAAATCCAAAAACAAATTTATCGGTGAATTCATTCCAACACCTTTGATACAGCACTGAACATATACTATTAGGGTAGTTTTTTTGCTTATTGTGGTTGATTCATCAATTATCAATGAAATTTTATTATTGGATTGAACAATTTCTTTAACCATAGTTTTCCTCATTTCTTCACTTATATGATTAACAGTGTTAATACACGCATTTGTAGAATGAAAAATACAACCCATTTCAACTCCGTTCAGTTCTTGAAGATCAATTTCAGTTTCAAAATGATGGAATGATTGATTTTCCTTTGCAGTTATTATTTTTTCATGAGATAATGAGGTTAAAACAACATTCTCAAGAGTCATTTTTTCGCTTTCAGCAACTATTTGTAATGTGCTTTATGTGCAGCAGATTCTCTGTGATCAAAAAAATTTTTTTAAGTGAGCTCAACTGATGCTTGCTATCTTTGCCAGAATAGGTTATCTTATTGTTGGTTCATTCTTTGGAAAGTTTCATTCCCATTTTATTTCAATTCCAAGAGTTCCAACTTTTCTACGAGGCGTACAGCCAACTTTCATTTTGTAAACACAGAGCCATTTATTTTTCAAGCAAAAATCATTTTTTGATCATAGGTCCAGCAGTCCGGCCAGTCATTTGTAGTTTGGCATTGCTTCTCAAGATCAGATTCAGAAATATCAACAGGCGTCATTATTTTCGTGTGTTCTGTCATTGTGTCTGTTAATATTCTGGCCTTTTTATTAGCAGGACCGGTGGTTGAGAAGTAATTAGTAATTTTTTTCATTTTTAAATTTGGGGTCACACTTTTACACTAAAAATTAAAACAAATTCACCAATGATTTTTTAAAATTAATTATTTACCTTTTGCACATAGTCAATCACTGTATACACACCCACACACGTCAGTTGTGTAGTGAAACAATGGTTGCCACCCTCAGTAAGAACTCAGCACGCAACCACATGACCAATCACAAGCCCAGCAGTGACCACCTCCCAACAAATCCTGCAAAAGGCGGTGTAAACATTAAGGGCTACACAACCCTTAAGCCCTTTGTCTTGGAACTTGGTTTGTCTGAAACCAATAACACTTAATCCATGTTTCATCTAAAAACGCAGCAGATGCCACCTGAGGGTTCCCCTTGCAGTTCTTTCTAGACCCAGATCTACGCAAAATTAAGTGCTGCTCCCACCACCTCCCACCCCCAGTCCTCTCTTACTCACAAGAAGATGGTGCGGTTGGGCATCAGGGAGGGATGCAAAGATTCCGCCAACTCACCTTCGCTGCAGACAACTTTGATGCACAGCACTTGCCGGCTGGATCCCTTGGAGCGCTTGGAGGTGCAGAGACAGCTGTCAATGGCCAGGTCCAGGCAATTCCTGTTGGCTTTCAAAAGCCAACAGAGGGAGTAGCACAGCCCGTGCATGGCGAGGGGGCAGTGCCTCGGTTCTTCTGCATTTTGGCAGCTCTAAGTAAGAGGTGGTGGTGGCGCCACTCATGGCATAGTCGGCGCGCACGGCAACCCTCTGGCTGTGAAAGGGAGTCGCTGTCCACCCTCACACCTCTTCTCCTCCTTCTCCTCCTTCTCCTCCGCAGTGGGTCAGAGACAGGAGGTGCTCCCTCACCCTCGCACCACCACTTCCTGCCGTCGAATCTCTAGGCGGACCACACAGTGCTTTTGTGCTGCCTCTCACCTTTTGGCTGTTGGAGGAATTATTTTTCTTAATTTTTTTTTCTTCAGGTGTTTCTCAGGGGGGGCAGTGTGTGCTGCCTCCGAGGGACGCTCCCCCTCCCCTCAGGAGACAGCATCCGAGTCTGATGGTGCAAGCACAAGAGTCGTGCCCCGGGACTAACCATGCGCCAAAGCAGCGTGAGCTGTGTGAAGAACCACCTTCACTAGTGTTTCTGTGGAAGTTGAAAATCTGTTAAAAAAAGATGCTGGAACGCCATTCTGTGCATTCTATGACAAAAAAGCCCTGATTATATATGTTATGTATTGTATTGAAATTACCTTGGTTCCATTAGTAAATGATATATTTACAGTGTGATTAGAATAAAACTGAGCCATAAACTGGGGGGGGGGGAAAATGTATGATACCAAAATCAGATAGCAAGTTTTTATATAGAATTGTATTACATTATTATTTTTCTCACATATATGAATTAACATACATAACATGGAATTAAAAATAACAGTGACTACATGGCAGCGCCATAAACATATATACCTTTAGGTACAATCATACAAAAAGATATGCTATGATTTTGTTACTTCATAAATTCTTCCTATGCGGAAAGAATACAGATAATTATATGGCTATAATTAACATTATATAGCATCTAGCATTGCTTTGTAAGTATGCTCTTCACAAAAGACCACATTCTACAATACAGATGGCAGCCATTTTGGCTCCAAGGGCTGCATGGGAAACAGGATTTAGCTCCAGATTAACATCCAGGTTTTCACAGATGTATGCATATGTACATTTATACAAACATGTTCACAAAAAGTGCAGTTTTTAATTCATAGATGTACTACCAATCATCAGAGATACCCAGGCACAGAACTTCATTTGGGAGTTGTCTTAATACTTTGTAAAATTTTGCAGTGAACAAAGAACTGCTGAATTTCCTACTAAGGCAATAGATGACCAGAAGTTCTTACACTAGATATGTTTTTCATCAGGTTTTCAGCCTTCAGAAACGAAGGATCAGAGGAAATCTGCAACAATAGCATACTGTGCTGTCCACATATACCTGAGCGCTGAAAAAGCTATAAATACAATTTCACTTCCTTTTTAAATTGTTTTTTTTCTGTATTAATTCTGAACATTGGCATTTTCTAAAGAGACTCAGAATATCTTAATATTTTCTTGTAATATAGGAGCATACTATCACGGAGTATACTAGCTCCATTCTGTAGTGGTGAATGGGGAACAGAAAGAAAAACTGTGAGAGACCTGGACAAAAATGATATTAATTTTAAGTTACATTAATTAGATTAATAGGATTACTCTGTATGCATTTAATAATTATTGCTATCACATTCACAATTATTATCTGGTAGCAACTTTTGGAAGAGTTCTGTTCATTCTTTCTAAAGTTTGAAAGACACCAGATTATAAATCTCTGATAAACAGTATGCAGACAGAGAATTAAGACCACTGTATATATTTTACTTACTGTATAAAAGACAGTAGTTACAAATTGGACCATCATTCTTAGTAGCGAAATTGAATTCAACAAGTGCTACCTTTATATACTGTAGAGTGATATGCTATATGTGCTTTATTTTCTTGAGCAAGAAACTCAAACAGTATCAGAAATGATGCTTGATCACAACAAATAAGCTAAATATAAAGCATGTTCATCCAGGCAGGAAAGACAGAATTTTCAACTCTGGTTATGGACCATTTTCTTAATCTTTGATAAGATGCTTGACATAGCAGAGATCCGTTGTGTGTCTTTAACCTGATATGCCTGAAACTGAAAAAAAAAAAAGTCAAACTATATCAAGTAACATGGTCATCACTGTAGAACTGGCTTTTAAGGAACTGTTCAGATCCAACAGGCTGCCAGGATATGGAGACTGACAAAAGCAGCATTGCCATGTGGTGTTATAAGTCCTGATCTCTTTGTGTGCTGTGGTGTCACAGGTACATCCTAAAGGGCCAAAATATGCAATGTAACACCACGACACTACTCATTCTCACAAAAACAGCAAAATCTCATGCACATTGCTGCGTCAGTTATTCTATAATTAGGATGGGTTCAGTTTCCATACTTATTTAATGGAATGGTTAATTTGTCAGTAATTATTTCTCACAATGGTTGGCAGTATTGTGGACAAGATTTACAAAAAAACAACAACCAGCTTCTCTTTTGCTAAATGCATCCATATTTAATGGCTTTGTAGTTGCTCTTCCTTAGACTACCTCATTGTTTCTTGCATATGTACACAAGAACCTTGCTAGAGTTGCACAACTTACCAGTGCGGCAGTATATCATTATTACACACCTCTCACTGAGATTGGTTTTCTAGATTTTAGATTCTATTGGGATGATGCTCCCTAATGTTTCTGTTCTCACACCCACATTGGTTTATATTTGTCCTCAGTCTTATTAGGCACTACTGTATTGTCATATCAAACACTGCTGTATGTTTTGCCCGATCTGTTTTATTTTCTTTTGTGCTCTGTGGCTGGCTGGCTATAGATCTTTAATAACTTCTTAGCAGCGATCTTCAATAGCATATAATTTATATCCTTTGCATAATGCTTGATATATAAAATATTGCTGATTTCTCAGTGGGAAGAACTGTTTTTCTTTCTTTGAGCGATCAACTTTTCTGCTGTAAGGTTTGGTGTTTCTTTTTTCTTTAGTAAATCTACCAAGACATAATTAAAAGGCTAAAACAATACAGCCCTTGACTTTAAAACAATAAAGTAATAACCCAAGGAAAGAAAAGTAGTATTTTTTTGTTAATAATTTGACATTAACAGGAAAAAAAACCTTAAGGCTAGGTAGAAGCCCAATGAAAAACAGGTAGCACCCTTAAGAATGATAGCTCCAGAACAAAGGTGTTAACCCAAATTAAAATGTAACTGGGAAATGTTTAACAAAATAAAAATACAATAAAATAGATAAGATTGCGTTTTAAAACAAAATAATAATAAGTGAAACCACAACACTTCGGGTTTGTGACTTGCAAGGAGTACGGCACAAGTTTGCCATCTCAATTTAGCCGCTGCAGCAAAGAT